CCCATGTTCATTGTAGCATTACCTACAATAGCCAAGATAGCACAGATGTGAAATCAACCTGTCCATCAACAAATGAATTCATAAAGAAAATGTGAGATTTATCTATCAGCTGTCTATATACCTCTCTATGTATCTATCATCTGTCTATCTATCCATCTATCGTCTTCATACATACATACAATGGAATATTATTCAACTTTTACATATAAGGAGATTCTGTCATTTGTGACAACAGGAATGAACCTGAAGGACATTATACTAAGTGAAATAAACCATAAACAGAAGAAAAATACTGAATGTTTTTATTTATATGTGGAATCTAAAAAAAAAAAATCCAATTCATAGTAACAGAATAGAATTGTGGTTTGGGGAAAACGTGAAAAATTGGTCGAAGAGTACATATTTAAGTTATAAGATTAATAAGCCTGTGCATGGTAGCTCATGCTTGCGATCCCAGCACTTCAGGAGATTGAGGTAGGGAAATGATTTGAGCCCAGGAGCTCAAGAACAGCCTGGGTAGCTTAGCAAGACTCCATCTCTACAAAAAATAAAAAATATATAGCCAGGTGTGGTGGCATGTGCCTGTAGTCCCAGCTACTCAAAACACTGAAACAGAAGGATAACCTGAGCACAGGACATCAAGGCTGCAGTGAGTCCTAATCATGCCACTGCACTCCAGTCTGAGTAACAGATATTAGTAAGTTCTGGAGATCTATTGTACAAATTACTAACTTTAGTTAATAATAATGCCTTGTACACTTAAAATTTGTTAAGAGAGCAGATCTCAGTGTTTTCACCACATACAAAAATGGTAAATATGTGAGGTGATTAACATGCTACAATATGTTTGAGTGTAGTAATCATTTTACTATGTAACTATACCAAATCATCAAACTGTACACCTCAAATATATACAATTTTTGTCAATTATACCTCAATAAAACTGGAAAAAAACAAATACAATTTCAGTTAGCACACCCAGTTATCAACCAAAAGTACACTTTCCAAGAAAATCATTGCAGTGATATTTCTACTAAAATAAATACTACTTTCACAAAAGCCAATGTGAAGATTTTCAAAATTTAGTGTATTTATTACAATATCATTTTTTTGCAGTAAGTCAAAAAGCCAATGTGGGAAATAAAAAGTGGGTTGCTTCTTGTATATTAAAATGAAACAATCAGAATATTCACCTTCACAATTGAGTGATATTGTTCTATTAATAAATAAAATTAAATAACAAATTAAGAAAGTAATTCCATTTAAATTTGCAACAAAAATGTAATAAACTTAAATGAATTTAAGAAAAAATGTGTAAGAGTTGTCTACTGAAAAGTAAATTATATTACTGAAAGAAATTTTTAAAAATCCTCATGACTGAAAGGACATGCCATGTTCATGGATCAGAAGGTATTATTTTATGATATGAAGTACTAACACATGCTATAACATGGATGAACCTTGAAAACACTATGCTAATTGAAATAAGCCAGTCTCAAGTAGTCACATATTATATGATTCCAATTATATTAAATATCCAGAAAAGGTAAATCCATACAGATAGAAAGTAGATTAGTGTTTGCATACTAGATTAGTAGATTAGTGTTGCCAACATGGTGAGTGTGGTTTACTAATGTGTATGTGGTTAATTTTTGATGTGATGAAATGCCTTAAAATTAGATTGTGGTACTGCATGAATAATTCTGTGGATATATTAAAAAAACCACTGAATTGTGCTTTTATTTTTTCTTGAGAATCATTCTGACTAAACCATTCAATCTTACTGGCCTTCATTTTCCTCAGGTAAAATAACATTAACATTTATGTTGGTTTAGGGTGCTGTTATGTTTAAAGTTTCTACAGCTATTAAACATTTTTTGTTACAAAAGAAAAACAGCTCTAAAGTCCACAAGCACTAAGGGAAACTGGAAGACACACTACCAAGGCACTTTTACTCTAATGGAAATATATTATATTTATAAAGTGCTTTTCAAAAGGAGTTCAAAATCTTATGACTTCTATGAGAGATAGCAATGCAGTTAATTATCAAGCTATAACAATAACTGGTACAAGAAATCCGGTATCTATAGCACCTGTCTTCCAAAATGTTTCAATATCTTTACAAAGACAATCATTAAAGAACTCTAATCACATCATTCTTATGATCAACAGGTGATCTGATATAAAATAGTATGAAAAGTAAATGGCACTTTGGAGGGGATCAGTATGGTTGTATTCTGATGAGTGAGGTTAGCCTTAACAGTTTTTGAAATGAAACTGAGCTGGTGTATCCTAGAATAGTCACATCCTGCCAGTTTCCTTTTTATCACATCAACCCTTACTATGGTATTCCCAAGATAGTCCAATAGAGAGCTGATTCAACTTGTTAGTATCCTCTTTGATGTCTTCAATTTGTACTCATTCTCCTAGATAGTCTGGAACAAAACTATCTTCTACAAATAGTATCTCAACTTAAAATTAACTGGTATAGCAAAAAAAGAGGCAGATACCTCTGTTATATAGTTCCAGGGTCAGAAACCCAAGATAATTGTTTGCTTGCTTACAGTTTCATAGCTTGAAAGTTGCCAAGATGACCATAGGCTCTATTCCAAGTTCTGATCCAACAGTGTTGGTGATACAGCTTCATCAAAACCTTGGAGGCTATATTTCATGGATTCCACTTTCTCAGGCTGCCTTTGTTTTCCCAAACTTCAACTAATTAAAAGAAAGGTGGGGAAAAGTGATGTCCCAAGTGTTCTCTGCAAACAGTCTCCATCATACTATCTCAAAACAAGTTGACTCGTGGAGGCCTGATATAATCTAAATAAGAATATGTGGGCTTTTAATAATTATGGTGAAGATGACAGCTGACTTCTAGTCTTCTTTTAGCTAGTACTACATGCTACTTCTTCCTCAATTATTCTGTGATAATTGTGGGCTGTGCAATATTTTACTTGAAATGGAATGTAGATGAGACCTTGACCAGCAGAGTTCATTCACTTTCTGGCTATGAGATCACATATAAAAGAACGTTTCTGTGTCAGAAAAGGTACAAGGAGCTTTACAAAGATTGTGGTATTTCGTTTCACAACATTCCTGGGAAGTAACCATATTGTTAACCATAGTATACAAATGAGGAAACTATTACACAGAAAGGTTAAGTCATTTGTTTGAAGTCACACAAGTAGAAGGTGGCAGAGCCTAGATTTGAATCTAGGTCTGTCCAGGCGGCAAACTCATGCTCCAAATCATTGTCAGGTTGCCTTTAAGAAAATAATTACTTATGAAACAGTCATTAAGTTTTGTTACACTCAGAAATCTCTTTTATTTGAAAAAAATTAGTTTCTTTAAGAGTTTTGTGAGAACAAAATAGAGAAAAACTATAAAAAAGGTAAAACCATAGGTAAATTATCCTTAAGGTATTTTTATTAAAAATTAAACTCTGCCTTCTCCAGACTCCCAGTACCTCAAATACAGTTGAAATAGTTATGTCATATGGTAAAGTAGAAAAAACTGGATGAATAATAAATTCTTGAGTTGGAATACTGATTCTGTCATTTACTAGCTGTGTGATCCTTGGCAAGCAATTAAAATATGGATAAAATGTTTATCTGTGTAGATCATCATGAAGATTAAATGTGATTGGTTATATAAAGTGACTGACAGTGCCTGGCATATGGTAGGCCCTCAACAAATGGCAAATGTTATTGTTATTATTATTATTAAGAAAAATGCAGAAGAGATAAAGTACAAAAGAGTAAGTGAATGAAAGGGAGGTGCTTGGGGGAGGATCTTGGTATGATTCAATGTTACTTTAAGCTTTAGTAAAGAACAAACACAGAAAAATGAATCATTTCTCAATAAGGAATGAATATTAATGATGATGATGGAGTTACTCTTGTGTTGAAGCCAGGTGCCAGAGGGATCCTTCCAACACTATGTTATTGTTTTTCATTACAGCAGGAAGTTGCAAGATGGACGTAGTTAGAAGATAGTTCCTTAAATTGGTTGAGAACAACCTAGATGCCTCTTAAATCCTGTTAAATATTAAGTATTGCAGTTGAACAAATAAGAGAGTCTAGCCAGTAGCAAGGAAAAATGACAAACATCCATGCCTTTCTATTTAAATTATCTAAAGCAAATTCTTCAGAGGGAAGATCAATAGCCTTAAGAGATGTTCTGAAGTAGACTTAGAATTCACTTCAACATAATAATTTGAAGCATATCTGAACAACTGAATATGCAAAACAGTAATGAAATAACACCTATTTTGTGCCCAGGTCTAAAATTGTTTTAATTCTTACTCTGAATATGTCTTTTCCTTATAAACATTTAAAAGCTCAATTTAATTAAGGTTTCACTTAATGTTTTAATAAAACATTTACGTTTAGAAAAAGCAGTTGACTGACTGCTTACTGCATGCTCTGACTTCTCAGCCATTGGCACCTAAGGAAATAATTGACTTGTGTGTCTATGTACCCAGGGAAGGCACTACTCATCTAATGACAACTCCTGAAAACGCAAGTAAAAATCACTACAGGAATAATGTATGTTCAAGAGGATGAACCTAACAATTTTAATCCTATTTTAGTAATGAGAAATGCCATGCTTCCCATAAAGCTACCATTACCTAAACAAAATAATTTTAAAGGTCAGGGAAAATCTGCCATGTTATAAATATGACTATGTTTCATGAAAAAAAGAAAAACTCATCATTTCAAAACATGGCAAATGTTATTGTTATTATTACTATTAAGAAAAATACAGAAGAGATAAAGAAGTACTAAAGAGTAAGTGAATGAAAGGGAGGTGCTTGGGGGAGGATCTTAGTGGTATAATAATAATACACCAAATTCTTCAGGTAGTTGACCCTGAACCACCACTTTGAAGCAAAAATCTCAAATTACTTCAAAATACGAGTTAAGCAACCTAGGTACCAAATCTAACTGGATAAAAGCACAGTTTAAAAAAATCTTTACAAAATAAATTTACACATTTACCTGGTAATTGTTTTGGCTTTGTGATAATCTCAGTTGGTTTGATGATGCGAAATGTGAAGAAAAATTACTCCGTGATGGATTTGTATTACTGTACATTGTACTAGATGCTGTGTGTAATGAGGTCCGTGGTGTCACATGATAGTCTCTGTTTTGATACAGTACGTTATCTGACAAATCTCTAATGTTCACCATATGTGAATTTGGCACATTTCTTCCTGGTCCGAGCAAGGTTGTACTTTGGTTCTCAGCTCGAAGGGAACTATCACTTTCATAAAATCTTGAGTAGCTTGGTATCTGTGCTCCCATCAATGCTAACTCTTCTTCCCTGGCATATTCATATTCAGCATCTCCAGTCTCCATCGCAATGGACAAACAAGTCCCTTCTGTTGAGTTAGGCTTCTGTGGAATACTACCTCCCAGAATTCTCTGGGGGTAATCGCTAACTGCCAATGAAAACACTTCACGGATTTCCAAGTTTTGTGTTCTACAGAAAGGGTCTCTAATAGTTGCCTTTTGCCCACATAAGTTATGTGATGCTGGGCCTGTGTGTTCATGCTTATATGACCTTTGAATCCCAACTGGTTCAATTTTGCAAGGTCGGTGGCACACAGATGATGTATGAGGTACTGTCATTTCAGAAGCTTGCACTGAAGAGCTTCCATAGTTTTTCTTCGTGTGACTGAATACTGAATTTCCAGAATTTAGCACACTTGTTTGTCTGGACAAAATAATAGTTTTTTCACCCAGGAGCAGGGAGGCATTTTTGCAATGTGCTACTTGTCTTTGAACAGGAATGTGCAACTGAAACTCAGTATCATTTTTACTGGTTGTTTTCTGAATAGGGATTTTATGTGCTTCTGTAATTTGTGTGCTTGTGTGTTTGGTGGCCCCTTGCTTACTTGATGAACTAGTTGAACTGTATATGCCAGTTACGATGACATCATTGTTGGTAGATGTCCAAGAAGACTGTTGGCTTGAAGGTCGAGCAATATTAACCACATTTCTGACTGTAATGTCTGGAGCTGCCAAAGAGGTACCTGAAACAGTTCCTGTTGTTGCTATTCCTGATTCAGAGTTCTTACTACTCATTTTTCTTCTTTTATTGCCAACCCACGTCTGGAAGAATAAAATATGGTATTATAAAAAATTTTAACAACAAACCAAGAAAAAACAATTTCTAAGTTGCATATTATATTCTCATTTATCATAGAATCAATGACTACACAAAGATTAAAGAAAATATGCAATAAAAGAAAAAGTAACTAAAGTATGAGGGCAGAGATGATCAAGGACTCCTACTTAATAAATATCTAGGAATTCTGAGAACAAAGTACATCACAGTCCCTCTCTTCCAAAAAAAATCCATCCAATTAACATGTATCATGAATCCTAAAAATGTTTACATTTTTAAAACTAGTATATGCATTTGTTTTAAATTATCCTAAAAAATAATCACAGATGTAGACAAGGCTTAAATGCAGTGGTGTTCATCATCTATTTATTTATAATAGTGAAAAAGTAAAAGTATAATAAAGGAATTATATTAGAAAATGCTCATAGTATTATTAAATGTCCATTTGCAATATTTAGGTTCAATGACTTCTATTGTATGAATATATCATAACTTGGTTAATTTCATACTGCCAGCTATTTGTGTTATTTTTGGAAATATTTATTATTATAAACAATATTGCAATATACCTAATAGTACATGCATCTTTGTGCTGTTGTTCTATTAGAATGCAATACTAGAAAAGAAATTGCCAGGCTATGATATTTTCAAAGTGCCTTCCAACATATAAATTCTAGTTTCATCATACCCTCACCAATAGTTTTCATTATCTTTTTGTAGTATTTCCTAGTTCAAGAATTAACAAAATGTATATAATTGATGTTTTGATTAGAATTTCTATGGTAACAATATTATCTTGATGGAGTTCCTCATTTGTTTCTTTTACCCATTTCTATATTGGGATATTTGTCTCTTAAAATTGATTTGTAGGAGCAATTTTCTAAAGATAGTAACACTTTGTCCCAAGTTGCATGAGTTTGGCATTAATTTATGGTAGTTATTTTCTTCTTTACATTTCTCTCCACTTACCAAATTTTATAATATGTATATGTATTACTTTTATAAACAGACAAAGTTATTAATAAAAATACCACCAGTGGTTGGCATTTAGAATTTGATTACAAAGTACATATTTTGTGTAAGTAATGTATTATAATTATCTTAGTATTATTGCTTTGAATCATGTTTCTTAAAATATGCAATAAGAAATATTACATTCCACAATGTGATTACTAAACTTTATAATTATTGCAAAAAGCATATCATATTATAAACTCCCAAAATACATAAATCTATTAAGAATTAAACAAAAAAACACATAAATTATCCAATTTTCAGTGTTACTGTGCACGGTATATCTAACCAATGTATAATTATATACAAAATTAATATAGTTGTAGTACTATAAGTACAAGCTAACATGTACTGAATCCTCACTGTGTGTTCTTTATATATATTTCCTTCTTTGATAGGTATTATTTTTTCATTGTGTAAATGAAGATACTGAGGTTCAGAAATAATAAGTACTTTGTGGAAGGATATCCTGGTGGCAAGCAGCAGAGCAAAGATTCAAACTCAATGCTTCCTCACTTCAAAGCACATTCTTTTACCACTACCCCACATGTAGTGGCTAGAAATTCCTGAAATATTCATTTCTACTGACCATTTTACTGTAGGAATTTTACAATAGGAATTTAAAACTATGATTTACTTTCATGAAACAGCAGGAGTGAGAATTACAAGCAGAAGGACATATGAATATAAATGTCACAGGTGATGAGAAGAGAAACTAAAAGGTTTCAAAATGTATACTCCAGAAGTACTTAAAAATAAATGTAAAAAGGTGCATTTTATAAATATTCAAAATAAGTTGCCATGTTTCGGCTTTTAAAGTAAAAAACAAACAAACCTGTGGGAAGCACGATTAATCTGTACATAGTCTTTAAAAACATGTATAGGATTTATATTTAAATGTTTAAAGGTAAAGCACAGTTAATTGACAAAATTTGAATTAAGAAACTACTACATCTGGAGGGCAACTCTGGGCCATTTTCCAAAATAAAACATAAGCTATTATATTCTCTTCATACACTATCTACCTTAGCACAGCATGTTTAAGAGTGATCTTAGTGCATTGTAAATGTATGACTTTTATAAAGTCTTATAGTTTATGCATATATTTGTATGTTATAGTTACTTATATAGCTTAATAGATTGTTATATTATGTAACCATTACAAAGTAAAATGCAGTAGAATAATACCCATATATGTATGAAACTCAACTATCTAGCCACCTAGGAACCTCCCTTTTCTAGAACACAGATAAAATAAATGTCACAAGATCCAAGCACTTCATTAATATAACATCCCCTAACCTCAAATCCAATTTCTCTAATTATATAGTATCCTAAGCTAAAACAAATTAGAAATAACAGAATAAAAGAGGTGCTGGTGACAGAGGTTGCTGTTGGCAGGCATCTCGATACTACCAAAACTAAAAATATTATATCAACATTGCTCACTAAAAAGGAGAAGAAAGGGAAAACAAAACAGAATCAATGTGAGAAATTGCTAAATAGCAGTCTGGGATTCTTCAGTAAAAGGGAAAATAACTCCATATACCTTACCAAATTGTTAACATTATTTTATTGCACAGTATAATTGATTTTCCTTATAAAAACCTTTAGTAAAAAAAGTAAGGGTTCAATTATTTTCCATATTCTCAATTAAAGTAGGAATATATATAAACATTTTCATAAAATGGAAATTTAAAAAATCATTTCCTGAATTTTCCCAATAAGTGAATTCAATTTTACTAAAGTTGTTTAGTTACAGAATCTAAAATTTACCAAAGTTTGTCAAATGTAAATGATTCTCATTGTAAATGCCTCATTGGTGAGAAGAAAAACATGGTTAAACTAAATCTATATGATAAGAATTTAGAGTTAGGAGCTAACAAAGTGATACTATGCAGGACAAAAAGAAAGGAAATACATTTGGATCACCAATCCTTAGTGTTTGAAATTAATCTTTCATTTTTTTCTTAGAAATTCAGTCTCTAAACCTCTTTTTTCTTTTCCTACACCAATTTTTTTGATTTTCTATTTTTTTAACCCCTCTAGACTTATTTTTGCTTGAATATTTTAATATTTTAAATTGTATTTATGTTGGGATCAAGTTCTCAGTATAGTGAGACTTATTTTTGTTTTTCTTTTTGTTTTATAAGAAAACCACAATGAATACTATATTAAAATAATAAGGAAAGGTCTGTTTCAAGTAGAACATATAGACCTAACAAAATATCAGGGCGGAGGGTAAGGTTGTGGAGTGCTGAGTCTATAAACAACTCTTTTTGCTTCTGACTAGAAAAACCATTAAAATTCTGTTGGGATTTAGATTAGGAAGACCGAATTTCTAAACAATTTACACTGAAAGGAAGAGAGTAGATTTATTTTATACAATTTTTATAACATACAACGTTTTACCTGTAATCTTACATCCTAAGAATTTATATCTTTTATTCCCATTGTTTGTTTTAGATGTTCACATTATTTGAAGCATAAGTATAAATCTCTGTATTTCAACACGCTCAATATTCAAGCACAATCAAGTAAGTTATGAGGGGAAGATTGCAATAATAAATTGGAAATGTGAAAGATAGCAGTTCAAAATGCAGCTGCCTGTGAGGGCTTTTCACTTTAAGGTAGTGGCAAGCAAAAAAGAAAAGAAAATAAAAACAGAGGAAATTAATTACGACAGGAAAACAAAATAATTAATAATTATAAAGTACAATTTTATAAACTTAAAACATAGCACAGTTTTATATTGTTTTTTTCTAAGGTGATTCAACATTTTCTTCTGAGATTTAGTAAAGGTATTTTAAATGAGGCATTTAGAGGAGATATTTCTAGTTCTTACACAAATCTGAGTATGATGCTTCATCTCAGCAAATAGGAAACAACTATCTTGGATATTTTCTCATAGAATTAGTGGCATAATTCCCTAATTTTGGGTGACTATATCCTTTGTCTTTAAGAAATACATTTTCCAAATAATTATTTTGATCAATAGATTTTTATCTTGAGGGTCTTTGAAGGTATGTCCAACAAAAAAAATGAGCTTAAAATCAGATGTCCTTTTTCTTTTCCAAATTAGCCTAGTGAATGCCAAGGATGGAAATGTTGCTAATCTTTGAATCACTAAGCTTTCACACCAAGAGGATTTCTAGCATTGTCAATCAAACATGAAAGTACCTATGCATTCACTAAATTCTGTGACTAGTTCTGTTAGATTTATCTTTTGCTTCCTCTCTATCATCCTCTCATTGCCTTTCACTAATGTGCAGCAGCTCTGATTTTTACAGCTGAATACCTGTAGTTGTGATAAAGAAAAAAATTCCTCTCTTGGGATTTCTTGTCTCTTACTAACCCATTAAAAGCCATGAATTTTACTTACAAAACATTATTCATAAAACAGACTAGGTTTTTCTAAAAAAAACAAAAATACTAAAGTTATAAATGCCTGATGAAAAAAACATATGCCGGGTACACAATACTGCCTCAGTAAATGCCTGTTTTACAGATACAATTTTTGACTGGTTAAGATCTACATTAATTTAGGATTTAAAAGAAGTATAAGATCAACAACTCATCTTAAAGGTATTTATTACTTCAAAAAACTAGGATTTTTCAAAGATATGTTTACATTGCAAAGGTTTTAATGTTTTCAGGGTATTTACAGAAACAAATACATACTAATTGATTAACTCTATTTATTAAAGAATTAGTATTGTTATACCAGGGAAGAGAAGCTGTTTATAAAGTTAATGATTTTATATCCTGATTAGTTTTACTCATATTAAGCAAATATCATTTGTAATAACAAGCTATAAATTTGAGTGTAAGACCTCAATACTTACCCTGACTACACTGAAGTCCAGCTTAGTTTCCTGTGCACACTGTAATATGAGCTGAAAGCAATTTTTACTTTGATTTGTCATTCCATTTTCATAATAACGCTGCAAAATCCTTTGTTGTTCTACAGTAAATACAGAACGTAGATTCATCTAAAAATAAAAGAAGATATTCTGAATATTGGAATAAAAATTGGGTATGTGTAGAATTTGTACACATTCATTTTTGATACAGTTTCAGTGCTTCCAAACAGCAAGATTTCAAGTGAATTTTTCTCTAGCTAAAGAGAGACGGTTTTTTACGGAAAAATATACATAATGCAAAAACTTACTGAATTTGTTCAGAAAAAGTACCAACTTTAAAGACAAAAAAAGAAAAAGAAAAGAAAAAGAAAAGCCGTTATCTGGTTTGTGTCAGTGCTGGCGGGGGGGAGTTCTTTCACTGAAATAAATATTTACAGCCAATAAAGCCAGAGATGGTGGTAGCCATACATGGTCAACTATCTATAGGGACACTCATTGTTCTTTGTCAAGCAAGGTATCTGGCATATGTCTTACGGCCAGGAGCTATGCTCTGGAACAAAAGGGTGCTTTTATTTTTCCTCTTTCTCAGATAAGGGGATTCTTTTATATATTAAAACAAAACCTCTCCATAAAGCTTAAAAAAAAACAAGAAGGTTTAGTGACTGCGAAAATTTCTTTGCTTTAGGCAATACTAACCAAAATATATTTTAATAAATATAACAGATAAATCAAAATTCAAAATCATGTACATTTTACTAATAATAAACAATATGAAATTATGTGCTTTTTAATTAAATTAACACCATCATAATCAAAATAAGACAAGTAAGAAAAAACACTTTATATTTCCTGCCAATAGATAAAATGTTTAATATTAGGGAGGAAAATAAATTGTGAATTTAAAGAATAAAGGTCAGGTCAAACTCTTTTCTGAAAAGGATGAATTCTAGTAGTGCATTTGATAAGAACCCTTTTTATATTAAGGCAAATTCAAGATCGTTTTAAAAGCTGTCACACTGAAATTGTTATTCCTAAAAGTTGACAGACATTAAAAAAATTATTTTCCTAGGAAAGTATCTCTTCAAAATTAAGAAAATATCAACAATAAAACACTATAAGCCAAACCAAACAGAAATCTTTCTAATATACTGAGAAGGGAATCAACAAAGTACATTGACATGGGAATAAAAAATAACTTCTCTTTCTCTGAATACTTTAAAACAATAAAGCTGTCTAAAAAGAAAATAAAAGGCATACAGAAATTCACTGCAATTTGTACTCCTTTCTTTCTTGCCCACACAGGCCATTGATCTCCCTTTCTAATGTTAAGAGATCCGATTAAAGAAAATCAGATGTGGGCAAGAATACCAGGAAAGTTGAAAGTTTTTCCCAAAACATCAGAAACAAAGACCTCGGCTAACTTTCTGAAGGGAATCTCATTCAAGTACACTAACGTGTAAGACTAAACCTGACCTAATTTTCAAGAATGCTTGGACTAGTGGGTGGGACAGTATCCATCAAAACAATTTTTACTATAACGACTACCAGTTTTCAGAGCAATTGGGATTCCGTTTCCTAAATGATTTCAGTAACAATCAGGAGAAGAGTCAGAAGATGGAGGACGAGTACTGAAATACCTTATCTGGTGTGGATTTTAAAGCAAAGTACTTTGAAATGGGCTCTGTGGATGGTGGTAAGCTTTAATTCACTAACACATAATCAGGATAATGGCCCTGATCTTTCTATGCAGCGCTGTACTTACTACCAAAAAGCCTGGAGTGTAAAATGTGAGTACTTCCCAAGTGTGATGATGCATGCCACTTCCCAAGTGTGATGATGCATGTATTTATAATATATAAATGTTTCTTATTGCTTGGATGCAACTGTTACACTTATCCAAACATGATATGAACCTTACAAAGCACAATAGTTTCTTCCCCAATGATACCAATACCCAAATATAGATGACTAAACAGATTTCTGGATTCTACAACTTTGACAGTAGACAATGTTGGGACCTTATTAGGTTTCCCCTTAAACTAAGTAGCAGCAGCAGTACATCCATTTCTCTCAGGAAAACTACTATTTTTCTTTCATATTAGAAGCTCATTCTTTACCACAACTAGATTACCCAATTTGAACAAGATAACTTGTCATTATCTCCACCAAGCTAGTTATTTTGATCTATAAAGTAGCAAGATACAGAACAATTGGGGAGATAGCATTTTAATCATTCTCAAAAAATAATTAAAAAGAGTTGAAAAAAATATTCACTTTTGAAACTTGGTTTTTAATTATGTAGAAGATAAAATGAAAAGCCATTGGCTGCCTGGGAATTCAAGTCCATTCGATTGGGATGGGGAAGGTGGCTAAATTAGGGGATTAAATGCTGAAGTAAAAAGTCATTTAGTCTTACTCCAATATTTCCTACTCTATTAGTCTTTGTATTGTATCACCCACTCAACACATACCTGTCCATAGGAATAAAACACCATGTGTTCTATGTTCAAGTTTCACTCTTGACTATTTTGTAAATTGATTAATTTCTATGAACATCCATTTCGGAGTCTGTAAAATGCTGGATTAGACAACTTGTGTTGCCTTACCAGTCTGAGTTGCTACAGATATGTTATAATATATGAAAAAATTTTTCTTATACTGTAAGGCATGTTAGAGTTGCATCATACTTATGTTTTTAGTATAACTATGTCCCTCAATTTATATATTATATTCAGATATGGAATTTATCAGATCCTTCTCAGGTTTAGAATTCAGTGTTTTAATGAAGACTGTGAGACATTAAAAAAAAGATTAAATCATGCTCTATATGTTCTATACAAGCAATCTGAGCAATGTATAAAATATTTTAAATTAGTTGCTTTGGAAATATCTGAAAAATACAGCTTGTAAGAAGGACTGCTTCCTTAGGGGTTTCAGGTAGCTAAGGCCATATTTCACATGGAAATATTTCAGATAGATTTCTATATACTGTAATGCTCATATATTTGATGTCATACTTAAAACCAGTTCAATGTCTTAATAATGGCTTAGCCAGTTAAGTTATTTGAAAATTACCCAAAGATTTAATCCTAAGTACTCATTCTTTAAAATATACATATTTGAAGAATAAAATGAGTCGATAAAATAGGCACCAACTCAAATATAACACATTCTTTCTGATATTAAAATTTTGAATTTTGGGTAAGTGATTAATGTTTTTGTTTACAAAGACAACATGTTAGCTGAGACTAACATAACACTTTGAATATCTTTATCTTGGCCAACATGTCTATTTTAACATTGTTCTTTTCATTCATTATTATTTATGTTTTAATTTTTTATACTATTTTATTTATTTTTTTAGACATGCGGTCTTGCTGTGTTACAAAGGTTGGTCTCGAACTCCTGGGCTCAAACGATCCTCCCACCTCAGCCTCCCAAAGTGCTGGGATTACAGGCATGAATCACCATGATTGGTCACATTATTATCATTATTCACTCTTTTAAAGTCTATTTTTTAATTTTTTTTATTTAGCCTCGACCTGCTGGACTCAGGTGATCCTTCTGCCTCAGTCTTTCAAGTATCTGGTACTACAGGCCTGCACCACCATGCTTGGCTAATTTTTAGATTTATTATAGAGACTAGGTCTTACCAAGTTGCCCAGGCTGATCTCGTATACCTGAGCTCAGGCAATCCTCTCGCCTCTGCCTCCCAAAGTGCTGGGATTACAGGCAAGAGCCACCATGCTCAGCTACTTTTCACTTTTAAATGGGCATACAGTAAAATTTACTCTTTTTGGTGTTCAGTTTTATGAGTTAAGACAAATGTATATAATCATGAATGTATTGCCACAATCAATACACAGAATAGTTCCATTACTCAAAAAAATTCCCTTATCCTGCCTCTTTATAATCAACCCCTTCAAGTCACTCCAGCTCTTGGCAACCACAAATATGTTCCTATAGTTCTGACTTTTAAAGGCTACCATATATATGGAATAATACAATATGCAGCCTCCTGAGTTTACCTTCATTAACCTAGCATAGGGCTTTTGAGATAACTCTGAGTTGCTGTGTATCAGTAGTTTGCTCTGTTTTCACCAGAGTGGTATTCCATTGTATGAGTGTACCACAGTTAATCTGTTTTTTAATTGAATAACAATTGGGCTGTTTCACGTGCTGGTTTATTATGGATAAAGCTGTTAAGAACATTTGTATATAGGTTTCTGTGTACAAGTAACTTTTTTTCATTTCTCTTGAGTAAATACTGAGGAGTGGGATTGCGAGGTCATATAGTAAGTGCATGTTTAACTTTATAAGAAGTTGCTAAATTGTTTTCAAAAGTGGCTTACAAATTTGCATTTTCACCAACATTCAAGGCAGGTTACAGTTCGTTCACTTCCTCATTAACATTTATTATTGTCAGATATAAAAAAGTAGGCATTCGAATAGGTGTGTAATTGTGTATTACAATTGTGGTTTTAACTTGCATTTTCCTACTGACAAATGATGCTGAACATCTTTTCATACACTTATCTGGTATCCATATATCTTCTATGTGGAAGTGTCTTATTTAATTATTTTAAAAAATTTAAGTTTCAGTTGTTTATTATTGAGTTTTGAGGGTTTATTATATATTTTGGAAACAAATTCTTCATTAGAAACATGATTTTTAAAGTTTTCTTCTTGTCTGTGGTTTGTCTTTTTATTTCATTAACAGTACTTTCACAGAGCAGAAGTTTTTAACTTTGCTGAAGTCTATTTATAATTTTTTTCTTGTATGAATTATGCTCTTTATGTATTATTCTTTAATACAGCTATTCTACAGCCTTCACATTGCCATATGAATTTTGAAATCAGTTTGTCAACACTTGCAGAATATTCTGCTGGGATTATGATTGAGATTGTATTGAATTTATAGATTGGTTTACAGATAATTAGCACCTTAAAAATATTGTATTTCAGCTCATGAATATATCTCTCTGATTATTTAGATCTTGTTTGATTTATTTTACTAGAGATTAATAGCTTTGAGATTACAGATCCAGTGCATATTTTGTTAAATTTACACCTATATATTTCCTGTCTCAGGGAGTGAGTGTACTATTGAAAGTGGTATTTGTTTTGCT